TAAAAGCAAAATTCTACTTTAAAAATATTGGCGAATATAGTTGGTCTAATTGGAATGACGTCTTCTGTTCTGTCTCCTGAGAGCAATGTCAAGTGATTACGTTGTTGACGGCGCTAGGGCGTCAACTTCTGTCACCATATATCGAAGGACGCCTGAAGCTTAAAAAACATTATCAGCGCCACTTTTTGACAGATCCTTCAAGCCCACTCTAAAAACCAAGCATAGGCACATTTCATCCACAATTCATCCTGTATAATGCCCGGCCCTAACGGAGGATGGTTTGTCGCATCGACTACCTATCGCCTTGATGTTTCTCTGATATTATGTGACATGTGCCGAATCGAAACCACTTTATTCAAAACCGAATACGATATCATCATCATAAAGGTGGTTCAGGGATGAGCGGACATAAGGCTCCATCCATAGCTGACGATGAGGTATAGCAGAAATGAGCGATCGCTGACCCCTACTTCTGTCAAGAGGCGTCAAAATGGGTGCATTTTAGTTACGAGTTTAATTTGAAAATCTACACACCAAAGTGCTGAGTACATTTTGAAAGCAAGTTTGTTAGAAACACAATAGTCCGAACTTGCACATAGAATTTTTGTAATAAAAAATATCACGAAAATGTCCCTTGCTTAGAAACCACAAGCAAAGCCACTGAGGGCAAAAGGTCGATAAGTTCAAGTTGACGTTTGAATTAACAAGTGTAGTGTAAGTTTGACCAAATGGTTAATAGTAATTCTAAATGCTGGAGGCTTGCTTCAGGCAACCGTAGTTAATAAAGGGATATTGCAGTATAAGGCCACAGTGTATCAGAGTGTATCAGATCGTACCATTCATATTCTGTATTTTTTTGGTTTTTCTTTAAAATATATTCTCCTATCTCAACAAATTATTAGGTATCCACAATTGTCTCCGTGGAACCTGCAATTATCACACCTGACTGGTATCAAACTGAGATTCGTCTATCTTTTCATCAATTCATTTATTAACCGAAAGAAAAAAAC